GTGTGGTCGGGGAAGAAGCAGTGCGAAGCCCCAGAGTCCAGAGTGAAAGACAGCGAAGCGTCCTCCGAAGTAGTGCCTGGACTAGTGTCTACACAAGTGCCTACACTAGCAACAGGCAACTTAGCAAGACTAGCACCTAAGCTAACAACACACGAGTAAACAGAGTCAGAAGCACTAGAATCAACAACAGCATACATAGCATGAGGAGTTCCTAAGAGATCAAGCAACTGAGAAGCAGACATGCCCCAAAGAGCGGAGCCGTACGTCTAAACAAGAGGTAACCAGTCACGGGCAGGGCCGCCAACGCCGAAGGCCAAGCGAACCGTGTCAGTGAGCTGAGCAAAGCACTGACCAGGAGGGTGGGTGCGATCACAAGGCTGGCCTCGGCGAGCACCTGTCAGAACCTGATAGGTGCACAAAGGGTGAACAACACCTCGCTGGGGCGGACGCTGTCCCAGCCCCGAAACCTGCTGCTGCCGTTGCTGCTGCGGGGGCTGCTGCAAGGGGAGGGGCTGCTGCTGCTGCACCTGCTGCTGCCGCTGGGCCAGGTACCACGCCGCTGCTCCACCCACCGCGGCCGGCAGACCAGGAGGAGGCTGACGAGTCCGGGTGGCGCCTCCACCAGCTGCAGTAGGGGAGTCACTGGCCACTGCAGAGACGCCTCTCCAGGCCCTGCGCTCCCGCCGCCACCGGTCGGCACGCCACCCCCACCACCTCCGCCACCAACGCCGCCACCGCCGCCGCCGCCTGCACCCTGACTGCCCCTCCTGCCACCCCTACCTCGAGACCGCGACGTAGTCATAACAGCAGCTGCGGTCACGTCAGTAGTGGCAGTGGCTAGCGAGGCAGTAAAAGTGGGCAGCTGAGGGACAGTGCACCCGTGAAACAGTCGTGGGGGCACAGCACCAGAGGCGGAGGCTACTGAGCGGAGGTTGCTCTCTACGTCCTTGAGCGCAGACTCAAGGACCTCGATAGTGAGCTCACTAGGGTGCTTCAGAAGAAGCGTGTCACGAACCGAGGCAAGGCGGTCAGGGAGGCTAGTGGCAATGAAGTAGATAGTAATCGCCATAGGAGGGGGAAGCAGTGCAAGCTGTGCGTCAGTGCAAGCAGCGCGGTAGCTAGAATCGAGCGAGCGGAGGTGAGCAATCAAGTCAGCAGAGCGCTCAAACGAGGCGAGGTCAGGGAACAAGAACGGTAGGAAGAGGCGGCCAAGGGAGACAGTGGTGGGAGTAGCGTAGCGGGCCTTGATCGCAGTTAGGAACTCACTAGCAGTGCGAACCTGAGTGAAGTGGGCCTTCTCAGACTCAGGGAGGAGGCTGCTAAGAGCGATGCAGGCCGCAGCGTCACGCGACTTCCACGCCGTCAGGTCAGCACGCTGGCGGGTAAAGTGGTCTCTGGCGGCGTCGTCAGGGGCAGGGCCTAAAGCGTAGGGTCGTCGGGCGCAGGAAGGTCACCAGTAGCGTGCGCCTAGAGGGACTCGCCCGCCTGGACCTGACTCTCTAAAAGGCGACGCGCGCGTAGGAGCCAGACCGGAAACTCGAGCGGTCTACCGTCAGCGTCAAAACGAAGAACCCTAGGGGTCGCCATAGCAAAAGCAAAGAGGTGGGAAGTGCTGCTGCTGAAACCCTAATCACTGAGAGCGACTCAGTAGGGCGCTACGGGACATAGGGTAGGGCGCTACGGGATACAGAGTAGGGCGCAACACTGCTGGACTAGGAGGGCGCAGCGCCACGGGCAGGAGTAGCACGACGCGACGCAGCGGGACAGGACGGGCAGCGCGACACGAAGCGAGGCGACGGGACGGGACGGACTGCGCGACGCGGATTGGCAGCGCGACGTGACGCGAAGGGACGGGACGGACGGGCAGCGCGACGCGGACGGACGGGACGGGACAGGACGGGACGGGACGGGACGGGACGGACGGACGGGACGGGACGGACGGCGCGACGCGGACAGGCAGCGCGACGCGGACGGACGGGACGGGACTGAAGGCGCGACGCGGACGGGCAGCGTGACGCGGACGGACGGGACGGGACGGACGGCGCGACGCGGACGGACAGCGCAACGGGCGCTAGGGCACGAGAGCAACGTAACGGCAGGCGCAGCGGGCGCTAGGGCACGAGAGCGACGTAATGGCAGGCGCAGTGGGCGCTAGGGCACGAGAGCAACGTAACGGCAGGCGCAGCGGGCGCGAGGGCACGAGAGGGACGTAACGGCAGGCGCGATAGGCGCTAGGGGACAGTACGAGCGTAACGGGCACTAGGGTACGGGACAGGCTCGGGCGCTACGGACGTGAACGAGAGGAACGGGATCCCATAGGATCCTAACCTAGGTGATACCATGTCAAGAATGAAAGCGTTGGTTCATTGATGTGGGTTGGGGTACATATAACAAACCCTAACATCTATACCCCCTAAGACAAACCTCACTACAGGCTACAACATTTGACAGGAAACACCTAAGGGTACATTCCGCTGTAGACATGTCCCTTAAGAAAGCGTCGCAATCGATTGTGACGCGTGAATACAACATATGCTGCCAGGTGTCAGGATTCTAGACCGCGTGAGAATGTTCTGGCGTGTATTTATCATTGGATACCGTGAACCACGGAACAGTCGCACGCGAATTGCAAGCAACCGTGTCTTGGATCAGCCATCGCACGCGGTTCCAAATGTCAGGCCCATCTGCCTGTATCTGGACATCTAGTTACAGCTCGAAATTTTCACACGATTGTACAAAACGAGCAGGGATTGGTTGTTTAGAGCGCGAAAAGATCGCGACAATCCCGCGCCTGTCATCTCTGCAGGCCTGTGCTACATTGGGTGCGAAGTGGCAGTTTTGTCTGCCCATTATGGCCACACCCAAACTTTTCGAAGTGTGCATCGTGAATGCTGGAGCCAATCATGACGCAGCACATGTGATTGTCGCGCACAATATCCAAGTCGCAATACATTCATTCTTTGTGACATGAGGTGTCGAGACATTTGGACGCGACTCGGCGGAAAATCGATTGCGACACTTTCTTAAGGGACATGTCCACAGCGGAATGTACCCTAAGGACCAGAACACCATAGCAACCCGCACCACATCGCGGGACACAGCCTTTCAAGCACAATCGCTAAACGCCTACACATATGCATCGTACATATACTGCATGTCTGCCACGCTCTCAAAGCAGCCGGTAATGTGATGCCAACTGCCCTGCCCTGCACCCAAAGGGACTGATGCGGGCATCCACCCATCGTCTGACCCTCCCAACTGCCGCACCGCGTGCTGTATAATACTCTGAGCCTGCTCTCGCTGCAGTGCCACGGAAAGTCGTGTAGTGAGTCCGGTCTCGAAAATCCGTGCTGACCCGTCATCCCCCCCCCCCCCAAGTCTTTACGCCGCTGTGCAATCCGCCGCGCACAAAGCCCTAGAAACTGCCTCATTGGCTCGCTGAGCAACCCAAACGTCTCCCCTACACAAGCATAAAAATGTGGCAGCGGTTGTAATCCCTCTAGATGCGATGCCCAATCCCGCAACTTGTCCTGTACTCGTCTGGCTGCTGCAACACCTATCTGCACTGGGGCCACTCGTCTAAGCCCGGTATTCCCCTGTTGCTGTGGATCTGCAATGGAGACGTCTACCAACACCATCAAAGGTTTTTCTATATCGCGGCAAGTCAGGTCTGGAATGCGGGCTGGTGCCCCTATGCGGCCTGTGCGTCCAGCCTGCCTTTGCTGCTGTACTGGCTGCTGCTGTTCCTGGTCCCTCTGTGCCTCCTCCCTTGTCGTCTCCGCCTCTCTATCCTCTCCCCCACCCACCTGCCTCCTCCCATCCCCTCTCCCCAACCCCAAACCCCCCAGCACCCTCGCCCTATCCCCCCCCTCCTTCCCCCCCCCCTCCTAACCCCTGCACTCCCGCAGTCGTGTCCCCCGCCTCCTCCTCTCTCCCTCTCTCCCCGAACCAGCCCGCACCCAAGGGCCGGGTCGCCCCCTGGACCCAGAGCCCGACCTGCCCTTGTTGGCCATCTTTCCTCGTTTCTCCTTTGCTAGCTCCTAACCTAAGCTACCCCTTTCTGTCAAAACATATACAGTATCACCCCGGATATAAGCGCACCTGCTCTTATAATAAAACTAGATTTTTTCAGGGGGGTGCGTTTATAATTGAGTAAAAAATATAAACGCATGCACATGTAAAATAACAAATATACAATTTTAAACTACTAGCACGAAAATGGTTCGCGTCATTGCAAAGCCAATCGAGTCGATTTGAAACAGGGTTGTGGGTGAAAATCTCTCGCTACTTGGCAGGGAAAGATTCTCTGCCAGCACATACACTCAAAATGTGTCACTAGGAGCTTTTGACAGCACATGCCGACTGGACGCGCAGCCTGCAGGGTTTGAATGTGAAGGAAATCTGATTTCAAGTCACCGACTTGCTAAAATGAACTTCGTTACTGTAATTTGACAGTTTTTCGATTTTAAAACGAACAACAGAAAAAAATATATGTTTCAACAGCACACATTGAGCGGAAAATGACAGGTCCGCCATGGATTCCGCCTGATGGCTTTAAGAGGCACGCTCGTGAAGGCTACGTGTCAGTTAGTAACATTGAATATAGTTTCGGAACCGCCTTAACGTTACGAAGCCGTAGGTACACTTCTCGTGTCCAACTGACGGACATTGTACCTTATGCTGCAAGGGGTCTCGTTTACTATTTTGATACTAACTCCAAGGTCTCGCGTCATGCTCTATGGCTGGAAAGCACGTCAAGCTCCAGGACTGACACCTGTTTCTTAACTCGTCAACAAGGGTCTCTTTTCAGATTTCATAACCGGTTCTCATTGGTCAAAAAGATTCTACAGGACTACGGTAGCAAACTTCTATCAAGGCTATCCTGCTCTAGGAGTTTCAAGTTCAAGGATTTAAACCACCCAGATGACGAGTTTGTTATGCTCAGACAGTGGCTTCTACCTCAAGGAGGCTTTCAGGATCAGCCGTGTCATCATCGCATTATGTCCAGGATGATAACCAGGAATGGCGGAGTTCGCCAGACGGTGATCACTGACGCCTCTGCATCGTCGGATGTTAAGCGCACCGCTGACCTGTTCACAGAAGAGGACAAGGATGCTCTTCAGCCTGCAGCACATGGTGCTAAGGAAGCCATTCGGGACTTACTTGCTGCGAGCGCTGGGGACAATTCGCAGCAGGGTGATGGTGCAGATAAGAGCAATGTCAATAATGGAGTGCCTGGCGAGTCCCTGCAGAAGGAGAAAGAGGAGGTGGTCAACAAGCCTACTCAGCATGATGACGAGGAAGATGATGACGGCTACCTCAGCGATGACCCGGAGGAGCGGTACGATGTGCAGGCGAAGAGCGAAGTTGCACAGCGGATTCGTTTCGCCATCGTGTTGCTGATCCCGATCGCCTTCAAACCGGAAGCGACGCGCGTGCAGGCGACGTTGCGTGCGCTCTTCAATCTGTGGAGGAAAGATCTGCACATGGAGATTCAGGCGACAACAAAGTTTCAGGAGCTGACGGCATTGTTTCTGAACAAGAAGCAGTATACGAGGCTACAGGTTACCTTCGAGAGGGCCCGGGATGCCAACTTCGGGTGGAAGCACGGGATTGTGCATACCTGCGTTGACGGGAAGCGTATTAACCTGGACTGGCAGCACCCGGTGGACCCTGCTTACGTGAAGGCGCGTGCTGCGGACCCGCTGTTGATCGAGGTCCTGTTTAAGGGAGTGGACACGGTGATCACGCCTGAGATGCTGTGCGACATGCTGGTGACGGTGAAGTTGGAGAAACGGGGACGTCCGGCTTTCAAGGAGGGGTGCTGCTTCCATCGGGTGGTGAATCCTGTCACGGGGATGGACACCGACAAGGTTAAGGGGCTGGTGAAACAGCATGCGGGTGATAAGTACCGCTGGCGTCACCTGATTGACGAACCGACCTCCCATGATAAACAGCTGCTGGTGCACTACCCATCGCTGTCCTGCGTTTACTGCTCGGGGTACCACATGTCGAGGTATAATGACGACTATGTGTCAGATCGGCTAAACAACATCTGCAACTGGAGCCTGTCTCTGGGACGGGTTTACGGGATTAATGTTAATGGGGGGGGGGATGCACCATGTTTACCTGTTCCTTCCTCGCTCGTTGTTTTCACGGTGGTGCGGTGCTAACGTCGTGGGTGTGTCAACTCCGCGCAGCCGCTTCAGTCAGGATCACAGATCTGACCAGGCTAATCTTGAAGGACCCGGCTTTGGTGTTGATTTCAACCGGGGGGAACCGCGAGGAGTGGATTTGTGTCCAGGAGAGCTGCGAGAAGGCGAGCGGGGTTTCTTTCGCCCAGGCAGCGGAGCATGTCGTCACCCAGCGGCACACCGATGGTTTGGTGTCAGGGTCTGCGTCACAGAGCTCCAAGGCAGGTGTCAATCTGGTGGCGGCGAAGAAGGAGTTCGGAGTGTGACGGGGTGTACTGGTCCTGCGAGGGAAGGGGAGGTAACATGCTGTGCAGAGGAGACGGCACAAGGAAGAACTGTTAAGCGCCGGAGTAGCTTCTCATGTTGTCATGCTGGCTGTAGATTGGCATCGCGTGCTGTTGTAACATCGCCTTGTGGATGCAAGGGGGCTTTGGCAGGAGTTAAATAATGGATAACACCAACCGTTTAACCATCGTGTCCCTGAACGTCAACGGGTTAGGGAGCACAGGGAAGCAGCAAACGGTGAAACGTTGGATCAAAACAGTTGCACACATAGTAGTCCTAGCAGACACAAGGGTGGCGGAAGATCATAATTTTTGGACAGAGCTCCGGCCTAGCTGTGTGGCCACGGTAGCAGCGCCAACTGGAGCGGGGGGGCTTGGCCATCCTGTGCTTCAGAGATGGGGTGCAGATCGAGGATGTGCAGGGGCACCCGTCTGGGAGGCTGCTCCATGCGCGGGTACGGTGGGGGATGAGGGTGATGAGGTTGTTAGCGGTGTATTTCCCGGCACAGCCGCCTCCGAGAGGTAGTTTCTTGGGGTCTTCCTTCAAGGACGTTGCTGCGAACCTGCCAAGGGGGGAGGACCTTGTGGTAGCAGGGGATTTTAATATGATCGAGGATCCTATTCTGGATAAATCAGACAAACAAGGGGTGACAGGGGACAACAGCCGCATGATGCAGATGCTGGCGGACTTCCATTCGAAGGATGTGTTTCGTGAACTTAATCCGGATGAGAGGCAATTCACCTTCTACTGCAAATCGGCGTTGGTTAGTTCACGGATCGACAGGGTGCTGGTGTCGCAGTCCATGATGCACCTGGTGGCGAGTGCAGTGCACAAGTGGATACTGAAGGGAATCACAGACCACAAGTTTGCGGTTAAGCTGCGGCTGGCGTGGAGAGGGCCGCGGGAGTCAGGGCCGGGGATCTGGCGCTTTCCGGCAAGGCTGGTTAAGAGGGCCGGTGTGGAGACGGCGATCGCAGAGGTGGTTCGGAAGCACTGTGAAGGGGGGAGCGGGGATTTTGACATGCTGTCACGTTGTCTGGCTGCTCGACTGCGGAAGTATGACAAGGAGGAGAGGAGGAGGGTGAAGCATACTCGAAGGACGCTGGAAGAACAAGTGGAAAGGCTACAGCACAGGGTGATGGCTGATCCGGGTGATGACGCGTTGCAGGCGTTGCTGACAGGCCGTGAGGCGATGCTGCAAAGATATGGGGACGGCAGGAGGAACTTGCTGCAACTACGGACAGGGCTTAAAGTGCAGCTAGAAGGGGAAACGCCAACAAGTTTTCTGACGGCGTTGATTAAGATCCGGAAGGCAAAGATGGGGATCAAGGAGCTGGTGCGGAACGGGGTCAGTCACACGGACGCGCGTGAGGTTTTGGAAGCAGCTACTTGTCACTTCAAGGAAGTGTTTGACGTGAGTCCCCAGGGGGATGCTGCACCAGGGTTGAAATGGACGCCGAGGAAGGTGCTGGAGAGAGCATCAGCAGAGAGTTTGACGAGGGACTGGTCAGAGCAGGAGGTCAAGCAGGCGATCAGGGAGCTGGCCAACGACAAGTCACCCGGCCGCGATGGGTTGCCTAAGGAGTTGTTCCACCGCCACTGGGAGTTGCTACGGGAGCCGATGATGAAGATGGTACGGGAGTTTGTGGAGACGGGAAAGATGCCGGATGTCGCGAATGAGGCGGTTACCATCCTGTTGTATAAGAAGGGGGCGGAGACGGACATAAGAAATTATCGGCCGATCACGCTTCTGTCGGGGGTGTACAAAATTCTGGCAAAAGTGGTGGCGACGCGGATGAAAGAGGTGGTTGGCCAGGTGATCTCAAATGAGCAATACGGATTCTTACCTGTGCGGCGCTTAATAGATGCGGTGTCTATGGTGGCTGACATGATTGAAGCAACTCGGAATGAGAACAGCGATTGGTACCTTCTACTGATTGATTTTGAGAAGGCGTATGACTTAGTGTGCAGGGAGTTTATGATGGAGACGATTGTCAAGCTGGGATTTCCTCCGCAGTTTGCACGGTGGATAGAAGCCCTGCACAGCGATGTACACACAAGGCTGTGCGTTAACCGATGGGTCGGCGAGAAAATCACGATGCGGAAAGGAGTGCGGCAGGGGTGTCCGCTCGCGCCGTACCTTTTCTTGTGCACGGTGGAGCCTCTGAGCCGGATGGTGGAAGAAAGAAACCTGGGAATCGGTGAAGGAGACTGCGATAGGCTATCGTACGTGGGGTATGCGGATGACACTACCCTGCCGTTGGAAGGGGAACAACAACTGAGGGAAGCGGGTGAGTTGCTGCAGGAGTACGCGGTGGTGTCCGGTTTAAAGGTGAACACGGGGAAGTCCGCGGTCCTGCCGTTGGGGAGGAACGTGGTACAACAGGCGCCAGATGGGGTGGGATATAAGTGGGTAGGAAAGGATGAGGTGGAGAGACTCCTCGGGGTGTGGATATCACCGGGAGGGAGTGCGGAGGCAACATGGGAGAGAGCAATTGATAGAGCGGCAGGGGAACTGAGTAAGTGGAAAACCAAGTATCTCACGACGGGGGCGAGGGTGATGGTTATCAACAGCTATGTGCTGCCGATCTTCCTATTCCAAGCGCAAGTATACCCGCCGGACGATCTGCTGTAGAAGAGGGTGGAAACACTGGTAGAAAATTTTGTGTCTGGCAACCATGCGGATACGGAACGGCACTTCAGACTCTGGAGCGGGGAGCTGATGTAAATGCCTAGAGAGCAAGGAGGATTGGGAGTTATTGATCCGAGAGGGCGTGTCGACAGCGTGGCGCTGAGGTGCGCGGGTTTGGCGTTGCGGCAGGAGTGTCCGCTCAGGCGTGGGTTGTCGGAGCGGGCGGCAGGGATGCCCCTCGGTTGGGCAACGTTATATGCACACAAGGCGGTGTTGCGGGGGGGGCTGTTCAAAAGCAGGAGATGGGCAAGGCTGTGCAAGGCAGTTCTGAAGTCTATTGTGGTGGAGGTGCCGGTGGCTTCGTCGCGCTGGGAAGCAGAGGAGGAGTTTCTGTGTTTCAACAAGAGCATTATCCACCGTGGGAATGCTCCGTTTGGTGGGCAGAAAGGGACGGAGAAACTGCGGGGGTAGAAGATGTGCGATATGGTGATGCGGAAGTGGGATGGTACTATGGTGCCGAAGTCGGAAGAGACGCTAGCAAAGGAACTGGAAGGGAAAAAGGAGGTGGAGATGGCGCTTAAAGCATTTCACGCGGCGCCAGAGCAGTGACGGCAGTGGGTACTAACACCCCTGACGGTAGAAGAGGTAGCGGGCGTGTCATCTACGGTGTGTACTAAGCTCCCAAGCGGGCAAAGATGTCTATGGGAGATCTGCGGCAAGCTGGGGAGGAAGGTGGAACTCCGTGGGCTAAGCGGACGAGGGGAACGTACTGCATGGGAGGTGAAGCTGGTGTTAGGTTGCGGCAGCGTGGTACCAGTGAGGTTATCCGGAGCTCGGGCAGTAAGAGAAGTTGGGGATCCGAGAACGCGGTTACTAAGTTCGACGTCGTTTAAAGAAGAGGATGTGGCTCCGCTGAGGGAGCTCAGGGAGCCGAGCAAGGGAGTGGAAGTGGTGGAGGTGAAAAGGACGAAGTGGGAAGCTCGGGCAGGCAGGAGAATTAACTGGGAGCGGGGAAGAAGAGTCCGTGATTCACTGGCGGTCCCGGCTAGGGCAAGGGATGTGCTACTCCGTGTGCAGAACTGCGGGTTGGAAGAGACACTGGAGCACTGTTTGCTCGAGTGTGCGAGTGTTGCACCGGTGTTTGGGGCAGTCAAGGCGACGCTCAGCATGATGCAGCCAGTGAGGCGGGTTGACACTATGGCAGATTTTGTGTTCGGCGAAGAGGAGACGAAGTCCGGTTTTCCCGAAGCTACTATGGCAGCAGTGGCGATGCACCAAATTTGGCTGGGCAGGTGTGACGTGTCTCTCCGTAAGGTGAAGAAGTTTCAGGCATGGAAAGTGCTTCGGAGGATCAACGTGGAGTTCAACAAGCATGCAAGGATCTACTGCGCCAGGCCGAGCAGACAGGCGCAGAAAGATAAGGCGAGGTAGAACTTGGCGGAGGATGAGGCATGTGTCATGCGGCGGATTTGCGACAGCGAGGCAGTGGGGCTGAGGTGGCAAGGGCGTTTCCAGTCCATCTGGACGAACCCGAGAACCTTTGTGAAACCACCATAAAGTTCGCAGGGAGGGCTAGGTGTCCTTGCCTAGCTTGAGCCCTGATGCATCAGTTACGACTGTAGTGTTTTGCATGTACATCTTCTTGTATAAGCTTTCACCAAAAAAAAAAAAAAAAAAAAAAAAAAAAAAAAAAACGAACATGCGTTTATAATAAATCATGTTGTTTAAGGGGGTGCGTTTATAATTGAAGATTGGCCATAAGCGCATTGCTCCATATAGAAGCGCATGCGATTTTAATAGGCCTGCGCTTTTAATAGGCCTGCGCTTATATCCAGGGTGTTGATTGATATTGCATATCTTATAACTGCCTATAGCTTGCTAGTGTATTAGTTTAGTTATTAGCATCAACTGCTGGTGGTGTACCCTCTTCTTCTCCCTTCCTCTTTCCTATATCTTGTATGCTTTGCATTTATTGAAGCCCTCTTTGGCCAAAACCTTCTCGATACCATCTCCCTAGCTCCATCTCCCAAGCTCCTAATCTCAACATGGTATAGAGCTATTACGCTCCTAGGACCTAAATGGGCCCACCGATTCCTATTTCGCTTAAGGCGTCCCTCCCTCCCGAAGCCCTACTGTTGCGATTGCCCCATCAACGCGACCGTCGCGTCGAAATCGGCGACGGTTTCGACGGGCAGCGCGATCGACGGGGCGAATGTCCCGTTGCTCGCGGCCTCGCTGCCCCCGCTCGTCGCCCTGTCAATCGCGGCCATGCTGCCCCGTCGCCGCTTCGTCGCGCCTTCGCCACGGCCCCCCGTCGTGCGCCACCCCCAGTCCCCGCCCGCCCTCCCG